GCACCCTCCCCCTTCATGTTACCGCTCGGGTTCCTCTCTCCTTCTACAGTCACACACTCTACTTTGCCACCACTCTTTTTTTGGCTTCCTGTAATCAAGTTCCTATCCCCACCATACACCGAAGTGGCCTCTTGAAGGTCACCAGTGAGACCCGCAGGGCCCATTCCAACCTCCTTTCCTCAGGCCTCCACCTCTGCAGCACTTTGCCCTGTTGCCCTCTCTAGAAATGCTGCCATGTCCTGGAGGCCTCATGGGGTGGCTCCCTTAGATGTCCTCCTGGCTTCCTGACAACACTTTCCCTGCTGCATCTTCCTACTTTGGTTGTCCTTAAAGCTTCCTCCTAAGCCATCATCATATCTCCCTTCCCTCGTTCTCTATAGAAGTTATCATGGTTCCAATCCCACCTTGGAAGATTCTCAAATCTCCATCTACAATTCCGAGTTGTTGTGTTTGTTTTTTTTTACTCTGATGACAAATTCCTGACTTGGGGACGCTTTGGGGTTCGCCCACTGGTGAGCCTGCTGTGCTCCATACAAGTATATCCTCCCTGTATACTCTGCCCAGTTCAGCTGCGAGATTCTGACTCCCTTACTCAAAACCTTCAGTGGCTCCCTCTGACTACTGAGGAAAGGAGCACTCATTGTGTTCCTTCAGGGAAGCCTATGACTCGGCGACACTCCCCCGTCTGCCGTTTCTCAACCGTGCCTTCTTGCCTTCCTGGGAACGTGATGTTTTCTCCCAGAGAGATTCCCAAGAGGAGAATCATACTCAACCGAAAGGGATCTTAGAGATCGTCTCCCCTAACTCATTTTACCAACGAGGCAAGAGACACCTGCCCAAGGTCATGTAGTTTCTTACTTACAGATTATCTGTCTGGAGACCCCTGGCTCCCAGGCTAGGATGCTTTCTCAATGTTACGGCTTTCACTTCAGAGCCTGTGAAGGACCTCATACCTAAACTCGTATCCAAGCTTTGGTCGTTTTAAGGGTTTCTAAGGTCAGATGACTCCACTGGCCGCCCTGCAAAGCTGTTGGCCTCAGGCGCCAGGGCAGAATGGCTGGGATGGCAGAACTGCTCAGAATGTTTGCCCTGCACTTCCCAAGTGTTCAAAAGTAAAAGCCCTATGCCCCTGGGAAAATATTCTGTAGGAAAACTGATCCTGAACCACTGAGCTCTGACTGACTCTGACCCAAGGAGTTTTCAAAGAGTGAAAACTGACATTCAGAGGAAGCTCTCTCAGGTTCAGGCGGAGTGTGGGCAACAGAGAGCTAATGTGGGAAAGAGGTGGCAGCCCCCTCGGGCAATATTCTTGAAATCATACCGAGTTTCATGACCTCAGCATAAACTAGAAACACAGAAGATGGAAACATAACTCCACAGACCGGAAATGAGAGCAGAAGAAAACAGATAAATGTCACCCGAGCCACCTTCCTCTGTGTGAAACAGGAAGACTGTTTCTCTGGTTTTCTCCCTGGTCCCCGCTCTCAATGCTATGACTAACTGTCAAGGCCGCACACTTGCAACACAAACGAAAAACCCCCAAACACCAACACTATCCTCACATCGCCCAAGTGAGAGGACGGGGGAAAGATGGGTAGGAAATTACCTCACAGAAATGTCTAAAAGAAAAATATCCTTCTTAAAAAGCTCTGGTCACAAACTGTACTTATTTGGAATTCAAGAATACGGCTTCTAAAAACTCCCTTGTGGTGAAAAAGTCATAGATAAGAATAAGACCATTTGGGGATAAAACCACTATCTTGGAAACACAGATGTACAACAAACAAACAAAAACCAACCCCCTCCCTAAAAAACCCTGACAAGGCTAGACGCTCGGTAGGTACTCGGAAAGGACTTCTGGATGACCCCAGCCTGCTCTTCATTTCAGCATCAGATCTTAACAAGCAAGCCAGCTTACTGACAAACTCAACACTGGGGCGGATAAACCACAGGACAATGGACTACACAGCGATCAAGTAAGAACAGTATTGGTTTTAAAAGTGCACCATGATTTTACAGCAGTTCACCCGAGGACGCTGAGGGAGACGGGGAAAAGGGATTTATGAGAAAAGATAACGAGCTTAGCATTTGCCACATTGTGTGTGAGGAAGCAATGGGAATCCTGGTCAGCTAGAAGGTTCTGAATGACTCAGGAGGACCTGGGCCCACAGCCAGAAACATGTGTTATTGCTGTGGACTGAAGGGGCTCACCCAGACCTATGGGAGGTACAGAACGAGCTGCTCAGTCATTCTGGTGTTTGCCCAGAATTTAGAATCATTAAGTCTGGAAGTGGTAACCAAGGAAGTCGCAGAAGACAAACATTTAAACTGTAACATGGACAATGAACATTTAAAAAAATCAGTTCTTCGAGTCTTGTCCTGGAGGGGGATCTTTTGGGTGAGGCCGAGTGATGAGATTTAGGTGAGCTGAATTTATCTAACTCTCTTTCATTAAGCCACCACTTTCTGTTCAGTTATCTGATGGTTATTTTTCTTGGCCCAGCTTAGAGGAACACAAAGACTTCTACATGTTTCAGCTTGTGAACTGAGGTTGGGATTGTTGCATGTGGTCACAAGGTGATGTCAGAGCCACTTTCAAGTATCTCAAAATGTCACTTAGTTTCTTCTTTGAACTTAAAACATTTTTATAAACTGGCCAAAGACTGGCTTTCCATAATGTGATCTATTTAGTAGAAGAAAACACAATTCACTATGACACTGAATCAGCATGATTTCCTGGGCAATGGCTCCTGGAGGATGGTCTCCTTGCTGTTGTCATAAGCAGTGTGTTTTTTGATGACATTATTCCACAGCTTAGCCATGACTGGCCTAACAGAATTACCCTGGGAGTGAACTGGCCCCGGGCAGCAGGGTGCTATAGCTTATAGCCCCCAAGTCCTATAAAGTCAGCCATCCCTGGATTAAGCTCTTTTAATTTCTTGATGGTTTAATGTCCTGCATATTATAATCAGTGTTTTAATTCAAGATTGGAGCCTTCTGGCAGTTTTCTGAAGGGCACACATTTTGAAGTCAAGTAATTAACTCAGTGTTCTTTCCTTCAGTCATCCCAAATTCTCTGTGCACCGAGAGAATATTTTCATACTCATGGCCATGTTAATTTTTAAGCTGATGCTCCCCTAGGGGTTGCCAAGGCAGAAGAGGTGGATAGTGGAAAAACATGGCTTGTCCCTAAAGAAGGGCTTTGTGGGTTGGCAGAGGTAAAGGGAAAGGAGAAATTATGTGACACTGCATGTAAATGAGAAAATTTGTAAATCGATTTTTCTGCCTGAGGAAAAAAATACACATTTGAGGAATAGAGAACATTCATCTATCTTTAGAGTTAAATTGAGAGCTAAAAAAAAGGGGGGGGGGATATGAGCTGCTATTCTGTGCAACAAAGATTGTAACTATAAACCAATGAGATCAAAGTTGTTTTAAAACAGTTGAAATATATCATCCTTATATCAATGTATCCTGGCACATGCTTTGGCAAATGCTTATGAAAGTCAGCACGTGTCTCAGGCAGTAGCATTTCTGATTGAATTTTGTGAAAAAATGCATGGTTACTGGGTTAATGTGCTACCATTACTAAGTTAAAAAAGTCCAAATCCAAAACCAAAAACCTTTTTTTGTAGGAAGGGAGAAACATGAGAATATAGACTCATATTTGCTTGTGTCTATGTTAAAAAAAAAAGCTAGAAGGATATACTGGGAGATGGGAATACTGGAATAGAGAGGAGAGTGGGGAGCAGGAATGGGAGTGAGAGATTTTTACTGTATACAGTGTATTATCATTTTGGTTTTTGTACCAATGTGAATATACCACCTATTCAAAAATGGGTGGGACTTAGCCAGCAAACTCTCTGAATTTAGCTAAGGTTCAATGGAGATGCAACCGTGTACCATCAGAACAACATTTCCAGTCCTACTGTCTCAACTGCTTACCATCTGAAGAGTGTCCCTATGTCTGAGCCCATGAAAGACCCTTTACTACATGATCTCCAGTCCTGACAATAACCCAGCAGGACTCTTCCTATTGGTTCCGTTTTACAAATGAGAACAACCGAGGTTGAGAGAGTTTATGAAGCAAATTACTTAAGGCCACGCAGGTAACTTATGGCAGAACCAGTATTCAAATCCAGGCCTGACTGAATCTGAAAGCCACATTTTCTCTACTACAACACACCACCTCTGACATCATGACTTTTAGCTTTAGTACTTTGACATCGTGAAATTAATAATACTAAGGATGATACAGCCACACATACTATAACATGTGCTTGAGCATATTTAAATTCATTTGTAAAGGCAAATGACAGTCATCTATTCAAAAGACAAACATCACTTTTTTCCTGCATGTAAAACTGGTATTAAAAAAAATGAAACAAATGATAAATCCAAAGAAATGCATATATCTTACCACCTTCCTCAGGTTGCATGTTTAACAGTTCATCTATCAGTCCAGTAGAGGAGGGGAAAGAAAACAAAATCCTGAGTTAGTTTTATTTTGTAAGGAGTTTGAAACAAATGATTAAAATGAAGTCATTTTCTTTCATCCGGATTACCTGAGCATGTGTTATTTGTAGAGCTCTTGTCTAAGGCAGAGAAAACACTCTGTCTTTCTTCAGCTGTAAACACAACGAGCAGCTGGTTATTGGGGATTCAGGATGGTGTGCGTGCCCACAGGCTACTGCGGTGTACCGTCCACACAGCTTCGGGGAGAAATGGCATCCACAAACCCATTCAGAAGCAGGGCTCCTCTTGAGCTGTTGGCTCTCAATGAACACTGAGCTAACAGCCCTGAACCTTTACGTTATTTAGTAAAAAAACTGATCTACCGATTCTCCTTCCGTGGACCAATGTGCAACTTAAGTGATTGACTATTACTTGATGGTGCTAATGAACGTCAGACATATATATGGGCCTGGGTAAAATTACTAAGTGACAGAAGCTAATCTGTAAAGGCTACATATGGCACAATTCCAACTGTACACCCTTCTGGAAAAGGGAAGACTATGAACACAGTAGAAAGATCAGTGGTTGCTAGGAGTTTGAGGGAGGGAGAGATGAATAGGTGAAGCCTCAGGGGATTTTTTAGGACAGGGAAACTAGTCTGTGATACTCTAATGGTGAATACATGTCATACATTTGTCAAAACTCATAGACTGTATAACACCAAGAATGGGCCCTAATGTAAACCATGGAATTTGGGTGATAAGATGTGTCAACAGTGGTCTATCAATTACAGCAAATGCACCACTGTGGTGGGGGATGTTGATAATGGGGAGGCTGTGCACGTGTGGACACTGGGAGTATGTGGGAAATCTCTGTACCTTCTGCCCAATTCTGCTGGAAGGCGGTGCCAAGCTCTCCCCCTGCTCCCCAAACCGACTGACACCCACCCCACAACACAATGAAAACCATACTCACCGGATGTGATCATGTGATCTTACTAAAACTATCCCTACAACCCAAATGGTAGTTAGAACTACCATTACTAGCAAAGGTAATAGCAGAAATGATATCATCTGTTGTAAAAGAAACTGCTGTCTGCCACGTCTGAATTGTGGATGCTCTTCTGACGAGCTGCTGTTGACGTGACTAATGATGCCATTTCCTGGTTCAAAATACACAATCTATCTCAGTAACACTATAGGGTCGACACCATTGAGCTATGAAAATTTAAGACTGAAAGCATGTTCATATACAATTTTCTCAACTGGAAAAGAACAAAGGCCTAGGAGGAGTTTGCTGTTGAGCAAGTAGTATTTCAGAATCAATTCTAAATAAAAATCAAAACTTACTCTTAAAACTAGAGGATTCCTTGTGCTGGTTTTCTTCCTCTAATGAAATTAACCTTAAAATAAAATAAAAAAGTTTAGTAATCTAGTTCTGAAAATGTTATATTTATGATACAGCCAGATTTTCTGTACAATATCTATTATTGCACTTGTACACGTGCGCGCGCACACACACACACACACACACACAAAGGTGATGTATAGTCAGTTGCAGGCTATACATTTTTTGAAGGAGGAATACATTTGCCGGTTTTCTCCTGTCCCAAGGCTGGTTAATAGCATCTTAACATCTAAATCTGGTTTCATCGTAAGGCACATATTCCGTAAATATCTAGGTGGTTAGTTAGGTACAAGTAAGACAGATACTCAAGTGATCACTTTTAAAAACATAGTTAAAAAACAAATGGGCAAGCAGATGCTTGTTCGGATTCCTGGTGTCACAGGACAGGACACCTCAGGAGGTTAGTTAGATTGCATGAGGCTGAGAGCAGGATCACTCTCAGAGGCAGATGACTGTCGCCTAACTCAACTCTCACCATACATGGGTAAGATCATGGCAGACACATCCCTACCCTAAGACCCCACTGGTGCCTCCAAACCTCCCTCCTACCACATTGGTTCACCTTTACCTGCTCTTTCTGAAAAAAATTCTTGTTAAGTTTTCATTGTCATTTTAAATAGTTTCTGGGTTACACTTTTGAGCTTTTAAAAACAAAGTACTAAAATAAAGCAGAACTCTGAAATTAATTAAAACTAACCAAGATGATGTTGGGTAGTTCCCTTCTGAGTAAAGGCTGATGCTTTATGTGGACTGTAGTAAAATATATGGTGAAAAGAAGGTGCCAGGACGCATGCCAGGCTCTGCCTCCTACTGCACCAGGGGCGGTGGGCACTCCCTTAACCTCTCTGAGCCTCACCTCCATCACTCACACGCTGGGGAAGTGCCTACACTGATTACATGCAGGGTTACCGTGAGAATGAGTGGAGGTAACGTAAATAAAGCACCTGGCATTGTGCTTAGCACACAGTAGGTGCTCACTAACTGGCAGCTAGCATTATTTTCATTACTAGGAGTAGGTTAAACTGCTTCCCCCAATATAACCAACTATACTACACTGAGATCACATTTTATAGCCTTCCTACAGTGAAAACCTGTTTTTGTTCTGCACTCAAAAAATCTTCTAGCATTTGCTTTAAAAAAAGGGTGGGGGGGCTAAAGTGGGCAGCAAATATTTGAGTGGGACAAAATATATATATATATATTTGAATCCTTATTTAGAAGCACAGTAGAAATATAAGGCTGCTTTGCCATAAGACTGTCATCTACATTTTCTGTGGGGAAACGGAAGAGCAAATGGGAGGATTATCTGCTTTGGTTTCCTAGGCCAGCCCCGTTCAAGGGTAATGCGGTCCCTGCAGGCGACACGCCAACAGGGAGAGACACAGGGTCCCGGTCAGACCTCCGTCCGAGCGAGAAGGTCCGCACCACGCGTGCCGACCGTGTCTCTGTGTTTAAAGTGACTGGAGGCACCGTGCCTGCAAAGGGGCGACAAGCGAAGATGATCAGTCACTTCCTGTGCTCAGAGCTGCTCCCGGCCTCGCAGAACAAAACAGCAGGTCTGAAGAGCAGCAACCAAAATGTCACAACTCAACACTTTCGGATGATAACACCTAAGTATGAGATGAGTTACGAGGCAATTTCATAGGTTATTTCCTTCCTGGAGACCAAAGCCAGGGGATTTCCTATCTAGGACAGGATCTTGTAAGTGATGATGACAAAAGGACCAGATGGGGTCCAGAAAGCCAGCAGAAAGATGGGCTGAGGCCACAAGACACAGAGCCAGCAGCAGAAGGGACACCACCCTTCCTGCCCCACCGAACTCATCAGTGTGTCCCTTCTAAGGACCCCAGAAATAGGTCTCTTCTTGGGGTGAGTCCCGGTCTGGTAGAAATACGTGTTAGGGGGTGAGGGTTGGTCTCGATTTTAACACATCTACTCTGAGAAGTGAGGGAGTAAAGCAGTTACCCTGGGCCCGAGGCCCCACCAGACGCGGTCAGTCAGGACTGCACTGCCCTTCCCTGTGGGAACAAAGATTTTGTCCAGACAAGTGGCCCGTGACTTACTGACTCGGCTCCTCTGCTGTGGCCTGGGTGCGCTCCTGCCGGGCGATTTTCTTCCTTTCTTCCTTCTCAGCCAGTTTTTTCACAGGGTCTTGTAAACTCTTGATCATGAGCCATAGATAATAAAGAGGAAACAACAAAAGAAACAAAGATCATCCATAAAAAAATTCAGCTGCCACTGGTCCCAGCAACCAAACCTTGACTGAGAGATTTAGGGAGGTTACTCTGAATCAATCAAGTGGGCAGAAATGAAATTTTATATGTTCTCAGACCCATCCAAGAAATACCAGCCCATAAAGGAAAGTTGTTTTGCTACTAGGTTTATATTTTCCCTTGTGTGATAAGTTATTCAAAAGAAGGCCTTTTGGCTATTGCTAACTTTATTTGCCATCTTTAACATGCAGCTAAGATAAACATTCTGTCCTGCTTGCAGCCCACACCCTGACAGCATAGAAGCTTTTTCTCCCCCAAAGATGAGACGATTTCATTTTAATTGTTTGCTAGTTTGCAACCTAAAAACAGTTCTTAAAAAATAAGAGAAAACAAAACCTTTAAAAAAAACCCCACAAAACACAGAAATAGTGGCTGAACATATTCTGACAAGCTAACTCCCACGAGTGGACAGAGCAGGTGTATCTAAATCCCTGTAGATAAAAAACGGGGGGGAGTCTTTTTATGACTCATATTTCTTGGAGTGAATGTCCTCAAGGTTTATTAAACATTTAAGGAAAGATTTTTTACAAAGCAACTGCCTAAAAACTGTCCACCAGTGACAAAGCCTGAAAAGGCAGAACATTTCTCTCACAATGAGTAATGAGTTATACAAAAAGATCTCTATTTCTGGCCCTAATTAAAATACAAACCTAGAAACACAAAAGAAACTTCTCAAGACACTTATCCTGCTTATATCCTCAGAGCTGTGAAAGTCCATCCTTTGGGCCTTCACGTTGCTTCTCCTGCCTTCTATTGCCCCAGTTTTCACTTCTCTAGTTTGACAACATACACGGAAGAGGCAACTAAGTGTCATATGCCAGCCCTGACCGGTTAGTGGCCACTGGCTGAGGGCTGGATGAAGGTGGTCTGGAGGCCGAGTCTCCGCAGAGCAGAGCTGTGATTGATTTTGGAGTCTGCCAGAGGGACACTGGTGTTACCTATAGTAGTTCCTTATTCCGTCCCACTTCTGGTTTAAACCTCTCTGCCTAGTTTAAAAGATCTTCTAAAATGTGATCTGGCCTTACTCTCCCAAGTCACATCCCTCTAGCCCCCAAATGTGAGCTTTCCATTCAATTAAGCTTGTCTCCTGTCCCCTTCTATCTTGGTTCATTCTGCTTCTGAACCAAAAAGCTCTCTCTCCTGATCTGTCCACTCTAAAAAGTATATCAGTCTTTGCAAAGCCCAGATGGGTTACCACTTTTCCGTAAAGCTTCATACAATGAGCAAACCAAATTCAAGAAAGTCCTTCCATCTCCAAACCAAATTCAAGAAAGTCCTTCCATCTCCAAACTACATTTACAATTTTATTAATGTGTGATTGTATCTATTCTGTATTGTTTTGTATCTAAATAATAATACCATATGCAGAATGCTAAGAAAATTTAAAGAGGAAAAATTACTCATAATTTCATTTCCCTCAAATAATGACTATTTTCATGTATTTCCTTTCTTTTTTTCATACTCATACTACTTATATACTTGGAATCTCTGTGCGTGTATATAAATATATATTTTATACAGAGTAGATGTCCTCTTAACCAATATAATGTGTTGGTATTTCATAATCAAAACCACTTCATTATAGTGGAGAACATTTTATGTATCTAAATGTTTAATATTTAATTAAAATATACAAATGCACATTTATTCATCATCATTCTAATGTAGAGCCAAGGCTTTCTCATTTAATATATGTCCCTGATTAAAGATCTGAAGCACTTTCTTGCACAAACCACATCCATAAGGCATTGCCATCATTTGCAATGACTCCCTATTTCTGGCATTTAGATTAGTACAGTCAGTCAAAAAATAGTTTTTAAGCACCTTGGTGCTGTTTTGGATGCTAGGGATACACTGGTAAATAAGACAGACAAAATTATCAGCTAGTGATGGGCCTATGCAGAGGATTAAAATAGGGGGATAGAAAGTGATTGGATCATTACTTCAGTTAACAGGAATGTCCCCTCTTGGAAGTGACACTTCAACTGAGAGCTAAATGACACGTAGAAGCCGGCCAAGTGCAGCTCGGGAGAAGAGGGGCCCCGAGTGCAGAGGCCGAAAGGTGGGAGTAGCTTGGCTTGTTTGAGGAACAAAGAGAACGCCACTGGGGCTGTAGTCTAGTGCTCGAGAGTACAAGACTTATGAGACCGGGATAAAGAGGTCGGCAGGGGTCACACGGGGAGAACATTCCTTTACCCACATTCATCAATATTTAACATTTTGCCTCATTAGTTTCATCATATTCTTGTGCTCTTTCTGTCTCTCTAATGCATGCGAACTAAATGGAATCCATGAGCCTTGGCTGGAGGGGGAGATGCTATAAAGAACAGGACTGGAACAAATGTGGCAACTGGAATATGGACTGTAGTCTGATTTTTTTTTTTTTAATTATATACCTCAAAGCATCTAGTTAAAGCGGGGCACGTGTATATGTGTGTGTGTGTGTGTGTATTTTGGAAATGTGCAACCTTAAGGAGGAGTTCAACAGATGTCAAGGACTTACTCTTTTCAATAGATCTGCCAATCATAGCATTTTATTCACCCCCCCGCCCCCCGCCCCCCGATGCAGCTTTACTTTCTTAAAGAGTGGTCCAAGCCTGGTCAAAGTGAAGCCAGGAGTTTTGTCAGCCAAGGTTCCAATGGCTCCAAGACTCCCTTTTAGATTCTGTGACACTCGTCCAGGCCTCCTGGTTTGCTCGGTTACCCTCTCATCGCATTTCCTTTTTATCAGTCAGAGCTAGGCAGGGCCAGGACACGTCTGCTCTCCGCTGGGCTGTGTCCAGCTGCCGGGGCGCTCGCCTAAGCCCCTGAGATGCCCTTGACAGGTCATCATCCCCTCTGTCTCGGGCCTGACCTCCCCTCAGAACCACACTTGAACAGCTCTCAGACAATTCCTTTGTAATGTAAACCACTCCTTCCTTCTTTTCAACCCCTTCCCCTGTTGGGCCATTAGCAGGGACTCCATTGTCGGCCCCCTGTCACCACAATCACAGTTCAATCACTATTGTGCTTCACCAACAGAATGGCCGCCGTTCCAATTGCTACTTTAATTTATTATTAATAATTCCTGTGACAAATGCTCCTGTCATCTTACGTCCTATTATTACCATTGTCCCTTTAATAATCTGGCTGTTGCCACTTAAAAGAGATGCTAAATATATACTTGTTAACTGATAAATTAATGTACATAAGTTAAACTGCAAAAATTAGAACTCTTTAGCTAGGAAATTCAAAGGCTCAGGAGAGTAATATAAAAGGGTTTTTAAAACCATAAGCAAAAAATAACACTGGCCACATGGGCTTGTTTATTAAATATTAGCATTTTGAACCAAGGGGAATTGTGTGTCTGCACTCACATGTCAGCTTCACTGAGATATCATTCACCCATAGAATCCACCCATTTAAAGTATACAATTCAATGATTTTTAGTATAGTCACTGAGTAGTGCAACTATCAGCACAATCAATTTTACAACACTTTCAAGGGGCATCTCTTAAAGTAAGAGTTTTAGACCAACTAAGCTAAATATTCCTCCATATAGCAGGAAAAACCCCACAACAACACACATGGAACTCGTTTCTGACAAAGATGGTATACATTCAAGAGATAAAGAGGCTTCGAGGAACTCTGAAACATCACAGAGGACAAATCATGTCCCCTTTTGTCTCTCAAAATTTGCCCCTGGATGTGACTGTCAGATAGATACAGGATATTCTACACGGTGGACCACTGCTCTCTCCAAGGTTTGATTAAAAGGCCCAACTGGGTGGGGTGGGGTGGGGTGGAGGTGAATTCTTTACATTAAAGTCCACAACTCAGCTGAAAACACTTAACCCTGTAGCATCCGTGAAAGTCAGAGGTGACAGCATTTTCTTTGTGACATGAACACCTGCTCGGGCGAAATGAATCTGCGGCCTGGCTGGCGGTACAGATGAGGCAGCCCTCAGATGGAACTATTTTGTATCACTGGCTGATGGAAGCCACACTCAAACCCATGTCCAGAAATGAAATGGCAAAGCATTCTGCTTCTAACCCCCAAACCCACTAGGTCCTCCACTAAAACGGCTTGTGAAAATCACTACTACCAGCAGCCATACAGCATCATATGAAACTGAAAAGTTCTCTGCGGAGGAAAGAATGTTTTTGGACTAAGTAACCTTTCTCTGTTAAGGCTGCACTGACATGCTAATAGTTTCCATCAATGCTTAAACGGTTTCAGGAAGCACACACATGATATATAAGATCAGCGTGACAGAGGAAACGCACAGACCGAGCTCACAGAAGTGTCTTAGAAAGGAAACAGCTTCATATAATAATGGGAGTTACTACTTCCTATATTAGGAAAATAAAAAGCCAGAGCAACAATCATCTGAATGAAAGCAAAACTACTCCACAAACAAATTTCACAGACAAAAGGCCAGCAGCCAGCCCTAATATCTGACCTAAATGTAATGTTTGACTTTGACAATTGGATAACATTTTCTCTAATCTTTAATTATGGCATTTAATTTTCTTACGCTGCTTCCCATTAATTACACTGGTATGCATATGAAGGTGCCAGATTTTGTCCATAAAAGGAAATGAAAGTGCTCAAAATAGTGAGGCATGGTGGAAAGATGCTGGGCTCGGCTGGGTGTGTGTGTTTGTGTTTATATAATTGGCAGCACATGAGGAACAAAAAGCAGAGGACGTGATGTGTATGCGCCACACAATTCATGAACATGAAGCACGTGTGCTCCCCACCCACGCAGTCATACAGTTATAAATTTATGAAGACACTATATGAGGAACACTCTTCATCTGGGACCAGAAGGCACTCTCGAGTTGTACTATAGAACAAAATGTTAAAGAGTAAAATTAGAGAAAAAATAAACATAGTTGTAAATTA